ACATGGCCGCCGGAGCACCATGAGGCACGCTCCAGGCAGCGCTGAGGGCTGGTGGGGGGGTGGTGCCGCTCTCCGGGCGGTGCTGAGGGCTGGCTACCCCGCCCCTCCCCGGAGCACAGAGGCAGCCCTCCCCTTCCTTGCCCGGGGCCTGGCGCGGCTGTGGGCTCCCGTGCCAGCAGGAGGCTGTCAGGGAGCAGAAGCAAAGCACAGCGCTCCAGCGGGCCAAGGCGTGGCTGTGCCCTGCCCTCCCCGATGCGAGTTCCTTACCTGGCCTACATCAGACACAAGGAGGGCAACGGTCTGCGACCAGCCAGAGGGGCAAGTCTTTGCCTGTGTTTTTTCACGTCCACCACTGTCTCGGGTTCAGTTCTGGCTTTCTTAGGAGTGCTCCAGAGAGTCCCTTCAGTCCAGACCCCAGAGCGCTCGGGCGGAACTAGCTGGTCCTCGGGGCAGCCCCCCCTCCAAAGGGCCTGCAGCCACTGGGAGTTCCCCTGAGATCTTCTGACATAGGTGGGCTTCACAGAGGCCATTCCACTGGGTGCCCGCCGAGGGAAGCCCGTCCCAGGAGGGGCGCGAGGGTGAGAGGCGGGGAGGAAAGCAGCCAAGAAGCTGGTTAGGCAAAGCCTCTTAGGTGTTAGATAGGGGAGGTCACACCTGAAAGAAAAGCCAAGAGGTCACACGAGGGGGACGCCACGCTGGTTAGAACGGTCACACGAGTGAGGGGCGTGGCGGGAGATCGCCAGCGCCCTCCCCAGCACACACACAGGAGCCTTGGCTCTGGGGTGCTGGGTCGCGAGGGAAGGTTCACACGGGGGATTAGGGAGCTGTTAAGACTAGCTGACAAGAGCAGCCACGTCCAGGAGCTTTGCTCAAGCCATAGCCCAGCGTTAGAGGTGCTAAATCCCAGCCTTACCTGAAGATTGTCAGTATTGTGAGAAGACTGGGCCATTCAGAGCAACGCCAGCTACTAAACCAGGGTGGGGAACCTATGGCCTGTGGGCCAGATCTAGTCCCTGGCTTACCTTGAGCCAGCCTGCAATGAGACTCAGGGCTTCCCGCCGCAGCAGGGCAAGCGGGCGCTCGCGCTCCAGCCCTGCGACAAGTCTCCGAGCTTCGTCTCCTTGCCCCACTGCTGAGGGAAGCCCTGAGCCTAAGCACCCCTCTATGGTAGCAGGTTTAAAACAAACCAAAGGAAGTGTTTCTTCATGCAGCACACCGTCAACCTGTGGAACTCCTTGCCAGAGGATGTTGTGAAGACTAGGACTTTAACAGGGCTCTAAAAAGAGCTAGATAGATTCAGGGAGGTTAGGTCCATCAATGGCTATTAGCCAGGATGGGCAGGAATGGTGTCCCCAGCCTCTGTTTGTCAGAATCTGGGAATGGGTGGCAGGGGTGGGGTCGCTTGATGATTCTGTTCATTCCCTCCGGGGCATTGGCCACTGTTGGCAGACAGGACACTGGGCTGGATGGACCTTTGGTCTGACCCAGTCTGGCCGTTCTTAAGGGCTGAAACACAAGGCGAGCCCCGGTGCCCTGAGCTGCATGCGCGTGGGGCTCAGGTCTCAGAGGGGTTTTGTTTGGTTTCTTGTTTTTTGGTTGGGTTTTGTTTTGGGGGTTGTTGGTTTTTGGGGGATTTTTTGCTTCTCACTTGTGTGCGGCCCCCGACTCATTTTTCTCTGGGTCAGCGGCCCCCAGCTGAAAAAGATTCTCCCCCATCCCCCAACTAAACATTCCCAGCTGAGAACGGGCTGTTCCTGGGTACGTGGGAGGATGCGAGTGATTTCTTCAGATACATGCAGGGCTCTGGTCTTTGCCGCCTGTGCAGGGCAACGGGTTGCACCTCCAGGCTGGGATGGAGAGGGGGGAGTTGGTTCGAGATGAGCAGATTTAGCGATACCGGGAACCAGCTGGGATCAGGCATGTTCCTCTTCAGCAGGGGTGGAAACCTTCGGTACCAGGTCTGATATCCTGGGACTGATATTTCTCTCCAGGGCCAAAGGCAGCCCCTGTGCGCGGCTTCTCTCTCCTGGGCCAAAGGCTGCAGTTCTGTGCAGCTGGGGAGCTTTTCCACACTTAGGGGGAATTTCTCCTCCCCGAAAGCTCTGCCATGCAAGTCCTCGCAGCTCTGGGGTAGTGGGGGGCGGCTGGGACCCAAGTCTTGCAGGACTGGCTGAACGAGGGGGAGGGCTTCATTTGAGCCAAGCGAGAGACTCATCTTCGGGAGGGATAAGAAGCCAGCGACGGGGATTTCACTCTGGTACCTTGGGCATTGGGGAAGGCACTCCTCAGTTTCTCCATGATGTCCTCCAGACACAGGCTGACGTCCCGTGCCCTCGTCTCCACCTCATCTGGTGGGGAGAAGGCAGAGCTGCGGTGAGTGGCCTTTTTCAGAGATTCACTGCCTATAGCTCCCAGGTAGGCTAGCTCCACCTGGCAGGACCCGGGTGGGGACTGGCAACACGACAGATGCCCTCACGCGGCAGAGGCCTGGAGAGCCTTAGGGAAGTGAAGCCAAAGAGGTGAGAGGCTAGTGACACAGGGAGACCGAGTGCTCTGGACACTCCAGGTCCCTGCACTGCACAGCAGAAGAACGGGCCTCTCTCGTAGCACCACGACCACCGCCCCGGACGCATCACAGCGAAGGGGGAGGAGGATCCAGGCAGTGGCTGGAACACATGAGAATTAAGGTCCAGCTCCAGACCCTCACCTGCAGCTTCAGTTTCAGGGGTGGGGTGCTCCTTCTCCCGGGGCTGACTTCCCTCCGAGGGATGGGGCGAGGAAGCCAAGGAAGAGGCTGCAGAGCCACTGGCGTCCAAATCGGTAGGCGGCTGGCAGGAGACAGGAGACCTCCTAAAAAAGTTTTCTGCTTCTCCTTTGTTTCACCTTCCTCAACCTGGGCCTGCAACCCTCCGCGCCTGCATTGCCAGCCCTGCCACCCACGTATTACGGCTCCTCTCCCATCCAGCCAAAGGCTCCGCCCCAGCTCTCCCTCCCGTCCCTGGGAGGTACCTGCAGGAGCAGCTCTCTCAGGCGGTGCAGCTGGGACTCCAGCTGCTTGTTATGATCCTCCAGGATCTGCATTCGGGTCTCCAGGCGGCTCTTGTGTTGCCGAAGGATCCTGGCCTCAGCCAGGAGCTCCTCGTTGTGCGGGTCTGGGGGCCCATCCGGAGACCCCTCTGCCGCCGCGGGGGACTCCACTGCCTCGTCGTGCTGCCACTTCAGACGCCGCAGCTCTCCCTGGAGGATCCTGCAAAAGGGACAGTCCGGGTCTAAGCAGCGACACGACCAGCTCTGGAGACAAGGCTGGACTCCCTGACCCGGCCCCACCAGCAGCTGTGGGCTTGGGATGAGTAAAGGCCCCCAAGAAAGCCCCCCTGGGCTGTGTAAGGGCTCAGGAACCAGCGTTCCCCGAGTTCTCTGCCTGCCCCCAAGTCGATACCTTCCCCCTCCCAAGCCCCCGCTCCCGAAACACATCAGCTACGAACGAAACTTCTGGGAGACAAACATCTCAGCTCTGGGGAAACAGCCTCCTCCTGCAGCTGGCTCCTTGGTGCTCGGGCCGTTGGCATGGGGATACATCAAAGACATGGGAGACGGAAGAGACCTACCCAGGCTTGTTCAGCTAGTACCTAGCTCAGGGCCAACCTGCTCCCTGCAGCACGTTTTCCAGTCTCGCTTCAGACGTCCCAGACAACAGGGCTCCTGCCACATCCATCTTCCCCGCTCCCCCTCCGGCGCCTACATGCCGGCTCCACCCCCCACCACTGACTAGCGCTGCGCTGCAGAATGTCCCCTCCTGACGCTGGTGGGTAGTTCTCACGGCTCAGCCAAGCGAACTGTTGGGCTCTTTCCATCCCTCCCTCCCTCCCCTGGGCACCCCCAGCCCTGCAATCCAGCATTTCGCTGGCTCCTTTCCCCTCACTCTCTGGCCGTGGCTTCTGGCCGCACGCATACCGGTTCTCATCCTCCAGGTGGGCCAGGATCCGCTCCAGCTCCCCCTTATCCTCCGTGTTGAGGCTGTCGCCGACCTTCGGGCTGCACCCCAGCTCTCGGTCGGTGATCGGGCTGGAGTGACGCAGCAGGTACTGATCCTCGTCCCTGTCACAAGGTGCCAGGAGGTGGTCAGGGAGGGAGCTCTCAGCGGGGGGAGTGCACGGGGAAAGAACGGCGGCAGGGATGGGGGTTTGTACAGGAGAGGCGGGTTCTGTGCTGCTTAGCGCCGGGGAATCCCGAGTTCTATTCCTGGGTGCAGAGGGGGGACTGTGCACCACAGATAGGGTAGGACAGATAAAGGAGAAGGAGCTGCTCCCATGCCCCACCCACCAAGCCGGCTTCAATGTAAGCATTGCAGAGAAATACGTCAACTCACAGGCTGTCGTCTGGGGACAAGCTGTCATTAAACAAGGAACAGTTCTGGTTTTCCATCTCTGCGAGCCTGGGGAAACAAAACAGTCAACCTGTGGAACTCCTTGCCAGAGGATGTTGTGAAGACCAGGACTTTAACAGCAATCAAAAAAGAACTAGATAAATGCCTGGAGGTTAGGCCCATCAATGGCTATTAGCCAGGATGGGTAGGCATGGTGTCCCTCGCCCCTGTTTGTCAGATCACTTGATGGTTCTGGAAGACAGGATACTGGGCTAGATAGACCTTTGGTCTGACCCTTTATGACCATTCTTATGTGTTCACTTGTGCCCATGTGTCTATTTGTTCCACATGCCGCAGTTCCTGACGTCTCCAGCAGGCAACTGGACTAGATGTCTTCCCAGCTGTTCTGTCCCCAGTGTGCCTGCCACTTGGTTCTAAACATTTTTGTGCTTCTTAGGAAAAACCCCCCGTAAACATGGACAGATCATCTGGAGAGCCCCCTCCGTGAGGCCAGCCGGGGCTCCTCACAACCGAGCTGCTGTTTCACGTAGCACATGGATCCTACATGGAACAGGCGACAGCGTTAGAAGAGACCCAAGGCCCCTGTGTGACCTAAGCCCGTTAGCCCAGCTCCACACAGGTGTTCATGCCTCTACATCACTGCTTGAAATGGAAGTTGAAACCTAACTATCTGGGTGGGCCTGGACCCTCATCTCTGTGCCTCAGTTTCCCATCTGTGCAATGGGGACAACAGCAGTGCCCTGTCTCTCAGGGGGGTTGCACAGAGCAACACTTTATGGGTTGGGAGACTACAGCGGGGGAGGGGGCATGAAGACCGATGGGGCGACCTGAAGCAGGGTGCTGGGAACATAAACTCCGAGTGGGCTGGTGAGGGGTTGACTGGCTTCAAGAGGGGTTGGGCTTGTCTTTTAGGGGAAGCCTGGCAGCTTACGAGGCCTCTTCTGTAATTACACAATTCACAAATGAAAATGTGTGTCTACTGGACCTGTATGAACCACTCTGGGCAGCCCACTCCAAAAGGGGTCCCTGCAGCTGCGTCACTCCCCTGCTTCCCCTCCCAGGATAAGGGCCCCATGGTTTGGAGCAGGACTGAGCCAGTTTTAGCCACAATCTCTGCCTGCAAAGTGACTCACGGGAATTCCCAGCAGAGGGGTGGGTGGATTACTGGGGTTACTCCCACCCTGCAAACTGCAGAGTGAAGGGTGCACACAAGGCAGACAAGAGGGTCTCACGGACTGGCCCTGGTTGAAGCGACAGAGTAACTGTTCCACCTCTCCCTCGCTCTGGCACGTGGTACCTGCTGGCGAAGTGTTCGATCCGGGAGTGGGTATCGGCGTGTGGTAACATCGGGGAGGAAGCTGGTCTGGAAGAGACATGCACAGGTCAGTGAGGTTCTGTGCTTCCTTACGCCAGCCCCTGGCTAGGAGATGCTGCCCCAGCCCCATTTGGGTCTAGAAAACCAAGGGGCAATCCGGAGAAGCATCACTCCCAGGAGGTTCAACTGGAAGATGGAAGCATCCAAACCTCCCAAGGCCCAGACACCAATCCAACCGCTGATCCCTGCAGTTGGATCATTTCCTTTGAATGTCCAGCTCTTCCCCCGCAACTGGTCATCCCCTCTATCTGCATGTCGGAGCCGAGGGGGCGCGTCAGGCAGGGCCTGTTGGTGCGCTGGTAGCACTCACGTCTCCGTGAAGTCGGCCTCCAGCACAGACTGGACGGGCAGGTAGCCTCTCTGCGGATGCTTGGTGAAGTACTGCTTGGACCGGAACTTGTTTTTGAGGGTGGTAGCAAAGTCCCTCATGTTCTCGCTGGATGTGGTCTGCAGAGAAACAGACGACAAGTGGCATAGCGCCCCATGGTCTCCAAGGTGATATGATGGCAGGACTAGAACATAGTTATGGTGTATGGTATGCAGTGTAAGTCAAGGGAAACATTATGAGTTGCTAACTGTGAGTATCCTGGTTATATTCATGAATCGTTTTTGTATCTGAATATAAATATGTCCCTGTATTTCACATGTAGCCACACCTAGGCAACGCCAGCTGGGCAAGATGCTTTCAGCCTAGATAACTGGCTGGGCAGGACCTATTCACGGTGACGGACCATTAGCAAACACAATAAGCTTTAGGAGTTCATCTCCCACCTAGCAAGCCTCCCTGAGAATGCTCCCGACAGCCTGTAAGTAACGGCTGTTAGGACCCTACACGGGCAGGTCACATGATGCTGAATTCCATCTTGGCAGGTCAGCATTTTCCCAGGCTGGGAACCAAGTTTTAAAACTGAAGTATTCCTGCCATGTACTAACGCCACACAAGGCAGGGAGCGACATCGTCTGAGGCTCTTCCCTCCCCACACCAGATGATGGCTGGAAACACGTGAGGAACAAAGACCAAACGGGGTGAGGGAGAATTGTTGGACGCAGGCTAAAGGGATTTCTAGCCTGTCTATTAACACCTGGGGACTCCAAGCTCCAAAGCAAGTGCAGCTTGACTCAGCCGCCTGCTTGCATCACTTCTCAGGGTGCGAATCTGCAAATTCATCTCCAAACTATTTAGTGTATTAAACAAAAACACAACCGACGCTTGTTTGCTAGGTAATCTGATCTCCCTGCTATCACTTATAATCACTGGGGGGAAAATCTCTCTTTTGTAGTTAATAAACTTGGTTTTGTTTGACTCTACCCCAACGAGCTTTGACTGGAATGCTGGGGAAGACCTGGGCTTGGACAAGCGCGCATGGCCCTCTTCACATTGAGGGAAAGCGGACTGGGTATTAAACCCACACACTGGCCAGATGCAGCCAGGGCAGGGCAGCACTGCTCGGGGGCTGGGAAGCTGGTGGCTAGGCGAGTCCCTACCTGTGTGAGTGCTGGTAAAAGCGCAGGCTTTGCAGCTTGTCTCAGTAGTGCAGGGTGAGAGGGCGCTCAGGCTGGTGGGTCAGAGGGCCCCAGGGTACCCCGGTTCCAGGCAGCGCCCACGGTGGAACATGTCACAAAAGAACTAAGCCTCTAGAGAGCAAGGGGCGGGGCATCCAGAGGAAAGAAATCCCTCGAGAGTCCCCAGGGCACAGGCCATGTGTGCATGCAATGAGCAGGCAAGGGCATGTGCCAAGAGCTGCACACGGAATAAGAGGTGTGTCACCCACACAGCGCTAGGGCGTGCCAACGGGCCCAGCATCGGGGCCTGTGTTCTCATTCAGCACCAATGGGCTGGAGCGGCAGGCGCTGCAAAACCCAATTGTGTAGGCAGCTTGCATCAGGCAGGGCCACAGCTGAACGACGCCTCAGAGAATCCCCCTCTGGCGGTGTACGAGGCTACCCGCAGCGGGCGGGGGTACAGCACGACAGGGAGAGCTCCCTGCCACGCCCTAGGCTGGCTGACCTAGCTCCCCCGCTCCTTACCGGGGTGTAGTACTCCATGATCGGGTAGTGCAGCTTGTTCCCTTTGCTGGCCCGGCCCGTCAGGAAGCAGGTCTGACAGATATCCACGTTGAACTGCTTCAGGCTGCGGTACCTGGGCAGATGAAGTGGGTCAGGGAGACAGCACCAGCCCGTGAGGCACCGTTGCCAAGCCACTCCCTTCTCCCGCCCTCAGGGCCTCTCAGCGGTGGACCAGCCTGGGGTTGCTCGTCACAGGTCATGGCAGCTCGTTTTTCTCAGACATCACTGGATCTAAAGCCTGGCTCAGAGGCACTGACCCGTTCACCATCCCCAGAAGCCAGCTGGCTCCGTCCCTCTGTCCACTTCATATTTGTGCCAGGGCCACGCCTCCAATTAACTAGAAAAGGGGGGGACAAG